TCTGCATTATATTCACACCACACATTGCCCTCAGAATGCATCTCCACTGCCTCCAGCCTTCTCCTCGCTGCAAATTCATCACCATGCTTCACACCATATAAGAGCCTTGGTAAAACTATACTTTATACATTCCCCTCTTTGCCTCCCAAGGACAAAGTTCTTTGTCTCCACAGACTCCTAAGTGACAACCACTCACTTTTTTCCTCATCAAATTCTTGATTCACATCATCTTTTCATAGACCCATCCGCTGACACGTCCATCCCAAAATATCTGAATACGTTCACCTCTCCATACTCTCTCCCTCCAATCTGATATTCAATCGTTTCATCACCCAATCTTTTTTGTTATCCTCATAACGCCTTCTCTTTCCTGTATTCACCTTTAATTTTCTTCTTTTGCTCACCTACCAAATTCATTCCACCAATCTCTGCAACTTCTCTCAGAATCTCCAAGAGCAGTTGTCATCAGCAAAAAAGAGCAGCATGTGACAACTCCCACTTTGTGTGTGATTCTCTTTATCTTTTAACTCCAGCTCTTGCCAAGGCCCTCGCATATTTACGTCTCTTACAACCCAATCTATAATATATTAAAAACCACAGGTGCATCACATTCTTGTTAAGGCATACTTTTCTGGTGAAATTAATTCCCTTTTCCTACATACTCTAAACTTGAGCCTCACTATCCTCGTAAAAACTCTTCACTGCTTTCAGAAGACCTACCTCTACACCATACACTTGCAAAAACATCTCCTGCCACATAGCCCCCTATCCACACTGTTCATACGCCTTTTCCAATCCACTAAATGCCACAAAGACCGTCTTTAGCCTTAATCTAAATATGTTCACTTATATGTTTATGTAAACACATGGTCCACACACCCCCTACCTTTCCTAAAGTCCTCCTTGTTCATCTGCTATCTATCTCCGTCTATACTCTTATTTCTTTCATTATACTCTCTACCATACACTTTAACCAGGTACACTCAACAGACTTATCCCCCTATAATTTTTGCACTCTCTTTTATCCCCTTTGCCTTATATACAAAGGAACTATGCATGCTCTCTGCCAATCCCTAGGTACCTTACCCTCTTCCATTACATTTATTAAATAATTGCACCAACCACTCCAAAACTATATCCCACCTGCTTTTAACATTTCTATCTTTATCCCATCAATCCCGGCTGCCTTACCCCTTTCATTTTACCTACTGCCTCACGAACTTCCCCCACACTCACAACTGGCTCTTCCTCACTCTACAAGATGTTATTCCTCCTTGCCCTATACACGAAATCACAGCTCCCTATCTTCATCAACATTTAACAATTCCTCAAAATATCCCTCCATCTTCCCAATACCTCTAACTCTCCATTTAATAACTCTCCTCTCCTATTTTTAACTGACAAATCCATTTGTTCTCTAGGCTTTCTTAACTTGTTAATCTCACTCCAAAACTTTTTCTTATTTTCAACAAAATTTGTTGATAACATCTCACCCACTCTCTCATTTGCTCTCTTTTTACATTGCTTCACCACTCTCTTAACCTCTCTCTTTTTCTCCATATACTCTTCCCTCCTTGCATCACTTCTACTTTGTAAAAACTTCTCATATGCTAACTTTTTCTCCCTTACTACTCTCTTTACATCATCATTCCACAATCGCTCCTCTTCCCTCCTGCACCCACTTTCCTGTAACCACAAACTTCTGCTGAACACTAACACTACATTTTTAAACCTACCCCATACCTCTTCGACCCATTGCCTATGCTCTCATTTAGCCCATCTATCCTCCAATAGCTGTTTATATCTTACCCTAACTGCCTCCTCTTTTAGTTTATAAACCTTCACCTCTCTCTTCCCTGATGCTTCTATTCTCCTTGTATCCCATCTACCTTTTACTCTCAGTGTAGCTACAACTAGAAAGTGATCTGATATATCTGTGGCCCCTCTATAAACATGTACATCCTGAAGTCTACTCAACAGTCTTTTATCTACCAATACATAATCCAACAAACTACTGTCATTTCGCCCTACATCATATCGTGTATACTTTATTTATCCTCTTTTTCTTAAAATATGTATTACCTATAACTAAACCCCTTTCTATACAAAGTTCAATCAAAGGGCTCCCATTATCATTTACACCTGCCCCCCCCAAACTTCCCTACCACAAACCCTCTCTAAAGTTTCCCTTTTTTAGCATTCAGGTCCCCTCCCAAAATTTACTCTCTCACTTGGTTAAAAGGCTCCATACATTCATTTAACATCTCCCCCCCTTTCCTCTCTCTCCTCTCTTTCCTCCTTTCCGGGTGCATACTGCTTATTAGGGGACCCCTTCCGCACCAACCTTTACTTTAATCCACATAATTTTTTTGAATTTACACTTTCATATTCTCTTTTCCCCTTTCCCAAAACTGATCTTTTAACTTACTGCTCCCCCTTCCTTTGCCTAACTCTCTAGTACCCCGTTTTAAAATTCCCTTTTATTCCCCCCACTGAAACCTCCACCCCCTTCAGTTTGTTTCGCTTAACCAGGCACCCAACTTTTTTTCATTCCAAAAACATCAGCAATCAACCGTTTTTTTGCACCGCAAAAATCCACGCACTTAAGCATCCAATTTTATAAAATTTTTTTTCTTCTCTTTTTTTGTAAAAGTATACAGGAGAAGGGGCTACTACCCCATTGCTCCCGGCATTTTAGTCGCCTCATACGACACGCATGGCTTACGGAGGAAAGATTCTTTTCCCTTCCCCATGGACAATAGAAGAAATAAAAAAGAACAAGAGCTATTTAGAAAAAGGAGAAAAACCTAGATGTATGTATATATATATATAGCATGTGCGTGTCTGTGAAGTGTGACCAAAGTGTAAGTAGGAGTAGCAAGATATCCCTGTTATCTTAGCGTGTTTATGAGACAGAAAAAGAAACCAGCAATCCTACCATCATGCAAAACAGTTACAGGTTTTTGTTTCACAGTCATCTGGCAGGACGGTAGTACTTCCCTGGGTGGTTGCTGTCTACCAACCTACTACCTATATTCAATCTTAATATCAATCTTAATATCTAACTGTATTTGAGACTTATACCTCACTATCAACCCTTCCTTTTTGTGTGCACTGACAGCTGACCTTGTAGGATATGGAGACACTGTTCTGGAAATATGGAAAAACCCAAATACATCTAGTTTAACAGGAAAAAAAAAATGCACATTAATCAGATTATCTATCTCTCAGTATGTGAGAGCGAGTGTCGACACACTATGTATAGCCTCTCAATCTTCTATTATGTGGATACTAAAGGCATGGGAATGTGGTCCCAGAGGGTTCTGATAAGATCACGTCAAAGTAGCTGCATGTCAACATTGATAATGTACAAGAAATAACTGCCCCACCATCCAAGAGTTATTATAGGTACAGTTCTTTACCAATCACTACCAAAGAAATATTCATCATAAAAACAGTAAGTATGAATGCAAAATTTGCATTTGCAGATTAATGTTCTAAACAAAATAATTTCAAAATGTCCTGTTTGTTGTTTGTAAGTCAAGTACATACTGCATGACAAAACTTCCCATATCAGCTGAATTTACGTTGGAAATATAAACACAAATGCAGTATAATGTGATCCTTTATTGACAACGTTTCACCCACACAGTGGGCTTTTTGAAGTCACACGCAGATCCGTGTGTGACTTGAAAAAGCCCACTGTGTGGGTGAAACGTTGTCAATAAAGAATCACATTATACTGCATTTGTGTTTATATTTCCATTGTGTCGGTATTTTATACCATTTATTTCCACTGAATTTACGTTAAAGAGCTAAGAGCTCGCTTTTCTTTCCTCCTCCGTCTTTTGCAAACTCAAATAGGCAATTACAGTGGACCCTCAGTTATCGGCCATTCCGGATATCAGTCAATTCGGTTTTTGCCCGTTTAGCCAAAATTCTATCCAGGTTATCGGCCGTATTGGATGCGTCCACCCGCCACTCCACCGCGTTTGTGAGTCAGTCTGGCTGTCTCTCTAGGCGAGTGAGGAAGCCTCCGAGCATTCATCCAAACATTTCGCTATAATCCATTGTTTTTTGTTGTTATTGATTGAGTACAACTGCAAAATAAGCAATCATGGGCCCAAAGAAAGTTCCCAGTAAAGTTTTCCCTTTTGGGAAAAAAAAGTGAGAAACACAAGAGAAATCAATGCAGGCAGACACAAGGG